TAATTCTTTAGATGAATATCAATTAGTACTTCCTAAATCCTTATATTTTTTATTTAAAGATTAATAAGTAAAATATTAAAATATAAAAGAGAAAAAGCAAATAGAAAATAAATAGAAAGAAAAAATTAGTAAAAACACTTAACCAAATTAAAATTAAAAAAACTAGTATATTTTTAACTTCTATAATTTTTTTTTTAATTCAAAAAATATAAAACTTTAGTTACCAATAATGTTTTTTAGTCTTTGTAGTAAACTTCATTTATTATTTTTATTATATCAAGTTCTTATTAATGTAATTCTACATACTAATAGATATGAAAGATATTTAACAAATCAAAGAATGTTAATAACTAATCCAACTTTACTTTTAAAAAAAAAATAATAAATTTGAAATATTTGTGTTATTGATAATATTAATTTCAAAAACAAATCCTTTACTTTTAATAATAAATATAATATAACAAGATCAACTTCACAAGCTTTTTTAAGAATAGTATTTCAATTTGAAATACTAAAAAAACTATTGAATTAATTAAAGATAATATAATACAATTTAATGAATCAACATATTTATTTAGTTTAAATCAACTTGGTAAAACAATTTTAATTAGATTTTAATTATTAATTAATTAACTTTTTAATTGTAAATAAAAAGAAGATAATTTAATAGAATATAATGAATTTAATTTAAATATTATCTATATAAAAATAATTGAACAAATAATATTAGTGTATATTGTTTACTAATACATATTATAATACTCAAAGTAGGAGAAATCCTAATAATGATAAAGAAATATTTGTCTTTTGTGAACAATATATTAAAGATTTAGAATTAATTGAAAATTAATCTGTAAAAATCTGTAATAATAAAGCAATTTTTCGTAGAGTTATTAAATTTCATCAAAAAAATTCAAGAATTAAACCTCTTTTAGAATAATGAAATATATCAAAAGATATGTGTAGTGTACTTTTAATAATCTTCTCAAATTATGAAATTTATAATCTTGTTACTATATTAGGTATAAAATTTTAGATAAATTAGAATTAGTAGTGTATTATTGTTTTACTTGTCAAGTATTAGATTTAATATAGTTAGCTATAGTTTGTGTTATTCAAATTTATATTACAGATAAAAAAATAAATATTTTGCAAATAGAAGAAGAAATAATGATTTATTTAAAATATGATATAATTTTTATAAATGGTATAGTTGGTAGAAAGCTTATCAAGTAGATATTAAAACAGCATTTGCTCCATTATTTTCAGTTGTATGAAATCTAAATTATATTAAATTAACAGTTTATTTTTTAGCTTTACTTTTAAATATTTATAACTTAAAGAATTATTACATAATACTAGATCTATTAATTCAACAAAAGAAGGTCATTATTTAGTATTTGATAAAGCACTTGAAATTTTTGGAATAAAATTTATAAAATAAAATATTATAGGTAATATTATTAATAAAGAAAATTTAAAAGATCAAATTAAATTTACACAAATAGAAAAAGAAAGAATGAAATTACTTTTTAGTGAATTTATTAATGATAATATAATATCATATAGTAAATATTTAGTTAATAATAAACATATAGTTTTTTAAAATTTAATAAAATCTTTAGTAGAAACTTTTGGTTCAATTACTTTCTTAAAATATCCACTTTTTAAAAATAATAGTCAATTATATTATAAAGAATATTAAAAATTATATAAGTGTTATAATATAAAATTAAAAAGATTAAAAGTAATATATAATCAAGAAATATTACAAATAGAACTAATTAATAATAAAGGAAGAAAAGCTAAAGAAGTAATAGTCAGTAAAGTTAAAGATATAAAAAAATCTGAAAAAGAAATAGAAAAAGATGAAAAGAAAAAAAAATAATTAATAAATTACTAGAAAACATTTAATAATATCTACTCTAAAAGATAATAATAAATCAATATTAATTAAGTAGTCATCTTTTTCCTTCAAGTATATGTCAAATCTAAATATTACAAATATTGAGTATATTTTTGAATCATTATCAAAAAACAAAAAGTGACATATCATCAAACTACTCAGGTAGAGAAAGATGAATTAACACTATTATTAATATTAAATTTACCTATAGAAGAAGAAATAGAAGAAGTTTTAAAAGAATTAATACAATTTTAGAATGGATAAACAAAAAAGAAAGTGAGAGATTAGTTATTACAAATTAAAATTATAAATATAAATAATATTAAAAAATATATTTTTATGTTAGTAATAATATATATTAGTAAAATTAAATTTATTGAAAAAATAAACTTTGATTTCATAATATTATATATAGAATTCTTTTTCTAATAATTGTTTTTTTTCCCTTCTATATAGTCTATAATTCAAAGCAAAAAAAACTTTATTTTATTCTTTCCTATAATATATTAATTTTAAATTAATAAAAAATATATTTATTATTACTTTTTTGTATTTTTAATAATTGTTTTTAAACTTTTACATATTTTTTAATAATTTTTATTAATATTGTCTATTTAGTTAAAATGGAATTTATTCAAGAAAAAAGATAAAATTACTTACTTTAATAAAGTTATTAGTTTCCTCCAAGTTATATTTAAATTCAAAACATTTATTAAGAGTTTGTTACTATAAATTTTTATAATTTAAAAATTCATTTTTTTTATTTAAAAAATCAATTTTTTATATATTGTATAAAATTCAACTGAACAATATACTTTACAACTTAAGATAATATTTTTTCTTTTATAAATTATATATATTTTTGTAAAAGTTGTATATTTTTTATCTACTTATAAGAAGATCTTTAAAAAACTTATTATTAAAGTGAAATTTCGCTTAAATGTAAAAAAAATCATCTAAAAGGAAAATTAATAATTAGAATTGATTGATCACATGATGATTGAACGATAATTTTTTCTTTAAAAATTTTATTATCGGCCTATTAATTTCTTAATTAATATTAGCGATAAGTATAATATTTTGTGATAGTTAACTATAGAATAACTCAATTATAGTTACACAAATTTTTTTACATATGAAAATGATTTGTGTACAACATATCCAGCATATGATATTTGCAAGCGTCAGACATTTTGCATGCAGATCATTTTCATATTAAAAAATTTTGTGTAACTATAATTGAATTAACTTTACTTTATAGTTAACTATTATAATATGTTATACTTACCACTTATATTAATTAAGAAATTGATAGATCATCATATGCTCAATTAATTATAACCATTGATTTTCCTTTTAAACAATTACTTTTTTTACATTTATATGAAATTTCGCTTTAAAAATAAGTTTTTTAAGATTTTCTTATAAGTAGATACAAATATACAACTTTAATAACAAAAATATATGTAATTTTATGAAAGAAAGAAAATTCTCTTAGGTTGTAAAGCATGTTTTTCAGTTGGATTTTATGTAATATACAAAAATCAATTTTTTAAATAAAAACTTTTCTGATGATAAGCTCTTAATAAATGCTTTAAATTTAAATATAACTTGACGAAAATAATAATCTTATTAAAGTAAGTAATTTATCTTTTTCTTTAAATGACTTCATTTTAGCTAAATAAACAATATTAATAAAAAACACTAAAAAATATGTAGAAGTTTAAGAACAATTATTAAATAATAAGAAAAAATAGTGGCAAATATATTTTTTATTAATTTAAAATTAATATATAATAAAATAAAATTCTTTCTGCTTTGAATTATAGATGATATAGAGAGAAAGAAAACAATTATTAGGAAATCAAAATAGGTAATTTTAATATGAAAACTATAAATTATTATACAAAAAAATTTGATATATTAAATAGTTCAATAGTTCTATCCATTAATAAAAATAAAAAATTTTAAATATACTATTGTATTTAATTAATATTCTATTATAATAAAATATGAAATAGCTATAAAGAAATTTTTATTTTAGTATTATATTTTTTAAACAATAAAAGAAAAGCTCTTTAAAAAACAAAAAAAAATCACAATAAAATTACAAGCCTTAAGCCAGTTCAATATATTTTTCATATTAAAATTGTTTATAATACTTTTATATATTAAAATTAGCATATAACAGACAATATGTTTGAAGAGATCTTAAAACTATCGAACCGTTTAACTTTTAAAACTTACAAAAATGTTTTTGAGAAATGAACGAACGATTTGTGTGAGACAGAAACTCAAAAACGTTAGCAATGTCGCATAGTTGTATTATACGCAAAGTCAAAAAAGTGGCGAAAAAGCATATAAAATTATGTCGATCAACTGATCGACATCTATATAAATGCCATTTGCGGAAAATTTATGCGTGCGCTTGTAAGCACGTGATATCTGTTATCGATTTCGACCAATCAGAAATCATTTTTGCATCAGTCAATCGAGGGCTAAATTAGATTAGTAGACCCGGTAAAAAGCGACTATTTTAACGGCTTTGATCAATCAGGTGAGCAATATCATGTGATATATTTGAAACTCAGTTGAGATTTATATTATATTAAAATTAAAAATTATGTCGGTACTGCTATAGTATAGTGGTATAAAGCACTTGACTTTGTAATCTCGAATACTTGGGTTCGAGTAAAACTAATACCAAAAAAAAAAAAATAAAAAAAAAAAAAAAAAAAAAAAAAAAAAAAATTTTTAAAATTATATTTTATTTAACGAACGACAAATTTTTTCAAAAAAATAAAATCAAAGAATGTTCGTGTTCTACTAACACTTCGTTTTTTACAGTATTTTACTATATAACAGTCAGAAGTGCATATGAACTTGCCCATTATAATACGCGTTCTAAAAGATTTTAGCTTCTTTTTTCTACTACAAACGACAACACATATGAAAAGGCTAAAAAAAGATATTTAGTGACGAAGCTTATTGATGCTATAATTCTTTATATTATTAAACGTCAACGGTAAGGAGGACAAAGACATTATATTTGTTTATTTTCGGTAATTTGAATTTTATCATTTTTATGTTTTCATTATTTCTCTTCCAATAGAGCAGGTAAGAGGGAATAACGTGCGGTTGTAGTTTGACGTAAAGTACTTGATTTAATTGCAGCTAACAGTATTGGGACTAGTAAAAGGCATGTTTGATTAGAATTAATTATGAAATCAAAAAGTTTGTCGTATGATAAGAACTAATTAAATTTACATTCACGATCATTAATCGTTCATAGGAATTTTCAACTGAAAGGCAAATTGACGAATTATCACAAATACAACCCCACGATTTGAAAATGTGACAAGGTGTGAAAAAATAATGTATGAAAAAATCTTTATTGTCAATAAGATTAATAAAGATGATGGTATGTGAATTACACTCCTAAATCATCTACTACGTAAGTAGTGTAACTGAACATATTGCCATTAATGCATAAATATTAAAGTTACTTAAGAATAGTACTTTTCCTCAGAAATATGATTTCCCTTTCTTGAACTTTCGTAATAACGAAAATTTATGTTAAATGATTAATGGTGCTCTCATCGGGAGTATTTTAACCACAATGATTTATGGATAATGATATTTTCCCAAGGCTTCACGGATCCGGATTGTTCTACAAAGGCAAGTTAGTAAATGTTAGCTTAATTTTAAAAATAAATAAAATTAATTATCTATTAGAACTTACCTTCAAGATCTCAAGGTTCCACCTTTCTATATGGTAAGTTTGAAAATATATTAGGTTTTTTTTAATTTTTTAAAAAAAAATAACTAACGAGATTTTCCATTAGAACTTACCTCCGATCCAAGATCTAAGGGTTGTAAGGGAATTAGTGCGGCTTAAAAAATAAAGAAACGTTTTGAAATGTTTCTTAAAAACAAATATATATATATATATAAAAAAAAAGAGAGATATTTCCGGTTCGTTCAAGTCCGTCTGGTATTTTAAAAATAAAAGAACGAACATTACTTTTAAAAAATAAAAAATTTTAAATCGGTCAATCACATGATTTGAATTTTCAGACTTAAGGGATTTCTGTAAAAAAAGTCCGGTCAAAACCGACGAATTCATGGATTACCCTAGGGATGGTAACGGTCGGTCATGGTCGGTAAACGTTCGGTCAGAAGCCTTTGACCATTAGCATCCCTAGATCATTCACGGATATCCGATGATGGATTGAATGTGTTTAGTTCACAAGGAAATGATTATTTAAGTTGGTTTCTCGCTTCTTGTATCGTTTCCCTTTTTTTAGTGGAATTCACTGTTACTCCTGGATTTCATAAGGATCAAAACTTCAAATTCTTCGACAGTCATTTGTACGTTCCAAAATGCCTTTTAACTTTAAAACAACTTCTTTTTCATTGATTCTAAAATCGAACTTTTCATTAAAATCCCCCTATTGATATCAACCTTTGCATTACAATAATCCTTTACTTACTTCATCGATTAAAGCGGTAACCCAATACAATAAGAATTAATGCTTCTATGTATTCTAACTTTTGTAGTAACTCTTCGAAATTCTTTCCTGTAATTCATTAATTTGAATCAAAGTATCTAGATCAGCCACTATACAGTTATTCTATTCTTCATTATGAATATTTTCCGTAAAGTTTGTTATGACATCAAATATTAATTAAATGCGGTAGTATTGGTCATGTAAATAAAAAAAAAAAAATTAATAATATAGTTTGTACACAATATTTCCGCCATTCTTTTCGCTGAGTGCCATGTAAATTGTAAAATTGTTTTATCACCATTTCGGATCATTACGATCATGAAACTAATTATTACATTCACATCATAAATATATTGAATAAGGAGCAAAAGACGTCATTATCTATAAGCATAAAAGTAATTTGAGGCAAAATCTTCCTATACATATCAACTGATTAATATGAAATGGGATCAAATTCTGTTGGAAATATGAAACTAAATGATGAAACTGACGATAATATTCTGGGATGTCTAGGCCGATCCAAAAAAAGACCGAAATGATTCTATGATCTACAGGACTGGACTTATGAATTAATCCAGGATGAAAAAGAATAATTTAGGATCTGTGCAAGTTTTATTTCCATATAGAAGCGAAGGACTTTCTATTTTTAAGATGTTTATGAAAATTATAATCAAGTAAAAATTTTTCTTTTGTCTGCATGCTGACGTCAATCTGATGTAATCATGTTTTGTATCGTATTATTAAAAGAACTAATTTACTAATAAATTTACATTTATCACGACAAAATTGATTAGTATATATATTTATGTGTATCATGAATTTTTGGTTTCCAAATAGTTATTATATTTTCTAATTATTATACAAGTTTATTCATTGCATAATTCTTCATACGTACACTTTAAATTTTGAATCTCATAGATCAAATTATATAGGAGAAACGAGTGGTCAACGATAAATTGTAATTTTTGAGCGTATATTTATTAGCAAAATATAGAAAATTTACGTGATTATTGTGGCACCCTTGGATTAAAAGTTAAATTTTATTTTTTTATATCAATTTCTAATTTAATTTATCAAAATCTAATCAAATTAATCAAATTTCAAAATTTAAAAAGGCGAACGTCCTTTTATCAATCTATGGAACTTTTTCCATGTTACAAAAAACAAATCCATCAAGCCAAAATTTCGGATATAAGAAAACTAAAAATTCTTAACCGTCTTAATCACAAACAAATTTTTTGTATGAAAATTACCAAATAGTATTATAACCGATAATTTCTATCTGTCCTCTATAATTTTCGAACAAATTAAATAAAGTTAATTCAGAATTATTGCAACAAATCTACATAAACGATGTCATCAATAAAGCCATTTGAAATTACTTTTTTTAATGTACTGAATATTTATTCTTTAATTGGATTAAACATATCGACAATCTTCGGTTTATTCAATCACCTTCACCTAAATATTAATATATATTCTTTGATCTTGTTGTTGGCGTTATTACTTTGAGTTCGTCGGAGATGATATTATATTAACATTAATTAAGATCCGAGATGATAATCGAAGCTTTATATCAATTATAATTCCAACGGTTTCACACGGTAAATTGAAAGAAAAGTTTATACATTAAATGACATCCATTTATCCTTTTCAAAGCAACATAAGATAATCTCATTATAAATATTAAATTATTATGGATCATTTCGGAAATAAAAATTATTTGGAGTAAAAAAAAAAAAAAATTATACAAACAAACTGGAAAGCATTAAATTCATTTTATTTGTCAATTATAATGTTTAGTATTAAATTATTATTATTATTTTTTTTTTTTCTCCGGAAGTTTTATTACAAATGTCCCATATTTACTACAAGCAAACTTTACACGTCGCTTAAGCGAAGATTCTATCGCGAAAGGTATATCACATTAAGGATATAACCTTTTTCCATAAAATATATAAATTAATAACTTTTCTGATCCTGGGTCAATCAAAAAAAAACCATTTCGAAATACTTTTATTATCTGACCCTTCAAAAAGGAAAAAAAAAAAATAAATTTTTTACTTTATATGCTAAATATGATTTTTTTTAGTAAAAATTTAACATTAAACGAATTTTTTTTGGAGATTCTCCTCCTTTCTATTGAAAAGTGCCAAAATATTGATGGTACATTTAAAATTTTGTAGAAAGTTGAAAACAATAAATATAATTTGAATCGTCGCTTCATACGCGAAATAATAAATATTTGCAACTTCTCTTCACCATTCTCAATAAACTTTTTACGTGCATTATTTTTCATTTAGACGATTTATAATTCTAATTTTCATCTAATTGGGCGTACATTTAATTTTTCTTTGTGCAATATAATTTACATTAAACGGATCTATAGAATAGGCGTATCACTTAACAAATATGATGGTTTAATCAATATAGACGCGTTTAAATTGACGAAGCTTTGTTATTGTTTGGGATGAAATCAGGTTGTGAGAATTTAACAAATTGAGATATTATTGCATTTTTAGTTTTGAGGTTATGATTGCTAGGAAAATCAAAAACTTTTTTATTACATAAAAACAAAAAAAAAAAAACGGAACAATGGGTAAAACACAATAGCAGTTAGGGATGGATCGGTCCTGGTAAGACCGGTCTTAGACCGGTTAATGGGACCGGTCCTTGCGGTCCTCGGTCCATATTCTGAGGACCGGTCCGGACCGGTCCTTTACTATTTATAGCGTTAATTTTATTTATAAAATATTAAAAAACTAGAGTTGGATCGACCCGGTTTTCATCTCTCTTATGGAATGAACCGCCCATAAGTCAATCCTTAGACATGTCCTAATATTTTACTGTAACGATACTGCCCGAAATGAAAAATCGGATGGAGAAATAATGAGATTAATAAGGCGCAGTAATCGTTTCGTATGCAATGATTTTATTATTATACTTTTTTATTTATTAAATTTATACAATTATTTTATTAAATTGATAATTTTATATGTATATTTTTCTAATATGTTTAAACCGATCCTTGGACCAATCTTATAAATCGGTCTGGTAAGAAAACAATTTTGGACCGGATCGGACTGGTAGGACCGAATGGTACAAGACCGGTCTTACGACCGGTCCTTGGACTGACTTATGGACCGGACCGGTCCAAAGAAATATGAAGACCGGTCTTTTTGGACCGGACCGATCCAACCCTAAATAGCAGTGACTCTTGTTTATAGCGAGACAAATCAGGTGAATTTGTTTCACCTAGTTTTGAGTGCCAATATTTTTTTTTTACTACAGTATATTGTCTAAAAATTCACCCTACTCAATTTTCCCCACAAGATCCTTTCGTGAGGATTGCAAATCAAAAACGGCTGAACATGAAAATAGGCAAGTCATTCAAAAAATGATTAATTTTCATTATAATATAAAATGTTCCCCATTTACCCAATCGTTACGAGCAAGGAATCAGTACTATTATGTAAAATATTACAAATACTTTAATCAAAATATGTAATTATACTTTAAAGCTATCAAATAAAAAAATTACTTTATAAGGCTAAATATTGAAGGGCTTGGGAAAATCTTGTGATAGTTTCATTTGTTCCATTGTCATGGGGAAATTGTAACGTAAATGGGCTTAAATTTATTGACAAATCGTCACTCTTTGAATCGTTTTTATATATAGGCCCAATTGAAACAAAAAAAAACAAAAAATTTTTTTTTTTCAATAATAACCGAAAAATGGCATCTCCTGATATTACTCTTCATACTTGCTCAACTCCCAACGGAGTAAAAATTAGCATTGCTCTTGAAGAATTAGGACTTCCTTATAAAGTGAATTATGTTTCTTTTGAAAAACGAGAACAAAAGAGCCCCGAGTTTTTGAAAATCAGTCCAGCAGGAAAAATTCCTGCTCTCACGGATCATGATTTTAATATATTTGAAAGTGGCGCTATTTTGATTTATCTTTGTGAAAATTATGATCCTGAAGAGAAATTACTTCCAAAGGATCCCAAGTTAAAAAGTCAAGTTATACAATGGGTACGCTTACTCTTTTATTAGATTATGTTCCAAATGGCTGGAGTCGGACCTATGCAAGGAGAAGCTAATTTTTATAACACTTTCTCACCAGAACATGTTCCATATTGCATTGAACGATATACAAAAGTAACCAAAAAATATTACATCATATCATCTTAAATGATTTCTTGGAAAAGAAGGAGTATTTAGTTGGAAATAGTATACTTTAGCAGATATTACAAATTATTCTATGGTTAAGTTCCACCTGATTTGTGGAATTCCAAATCTAGATGATTTACCAAATTTAAAAGCTTGGGTGGCTCGTATTGATGCAAGACCTGCTACTCAAAAAGGCATAGATGTACCTAACGTATTGAACATCCTGAAAAGTTGGAAGAATTATCTCAAAAGGTTAAAGCTGTTATTTCTAAACAAAGAGAAGAAGAAAAAAATAAAAGTTGCGATTCGAATGTCATTATTAAATTCTTATTTGATTATTATTATTTTTATCATTTAAATAAAAATCTTAATTGTCTAAATTGTTTGTCATGTCACATTTTGATTACAAAAAAAATTTTCGTGTTTTATTTCATCAAGTTCGCCGTTAATATATCATTCTTCATAAAAGCCATGAAATAACACTTTTTTTTTGATTTTATCTTTTACAGACAATAAAAATTTCTCATTTTCTTATCATAATTACCACATCGCCATTTGCTTTTTTTTATTAGCATAGCAAACAACTCTTCTATTACTTCCATTTTATCGTTCGCAACTAATAATAAACGTTTCATCCCTTTACCCTTCTTGAACTCTTCCCAATTCTTTGCAAAATATTCCAATACGATACCTTTTAAAAATTTATCGTTAGTTTTCCATCCCATCCATAAAATTTGTCCCAATTGCCTTTATTCAAAGATCTAGGCATTTCCTTTGCAATCAAGCACTTTAACTTCGTTAATCCCATCATTTCAGCTAATTTACGAGTTTCATTATGAATGTTAATAAGAAGACAACATCCATTACATCCCTCATACATCAAATTTCCTGTATATATAAAATAAATAACAGCACGAAATGCCATACAAGTAGTATTTTCAATTTTTACAACTTTTTCCCTTTCCACTCTCCATCGCTAAAATCACACTATGTGCCTTAACGGGTTTATCACAACCAAAATTAAATTCGATATCCGCCAAATCATCATCTTCAAAAGCTTTCTCGGTTTTTTTCGTATAATATCTCATTCCTTTCAATACTTTTATCAGAGTCAATAAACATAATTTGAATAAAGATATCAGTTGATCTGGATCTATTACTATCAGGAAAAATTTCGTTCAATGAAATAAATTGGTCAAGTCTCCAAGTTGCAGGTGGGTTATTGAAATTGTAATTATGTTTGATTTCAAATGGTGTCTTAATAGCTTCAAGAGAAACTGAAATATAATTCTAGATCCTAAATCACCATTCGTAATTGCCATTGATCATCATCATGACAATTTTGTGGGATCCAAAATTTTGGACTAGAAAAGGTATCTCCATGAGATATTTTTCTAACATAATCTTGAAAACTTCCAATTTCCCAAATAAACGTCACCCATTATTTTTTTCGTATTTAAAGATAAAAATCAAAAAAAAAAAGTTAAATTATCAAAATGTATAATTGTATCCACTAAAGATAATTTAGGTGGCTGTGATCACATGTCTTCGTTTTTGCTATAAATTCAAGATGTTTTTATAAGAAACTTTGCGCCCTGATTATTAATCAAGAAAGTGAGATGTCACGTGACTGAGAATGCATCCATTTGTATGAAAGTTCTCAGCTCAGTCTGTTCTGAACAATCGTGAAAGAATGTTAATATAGTTTTACAAAAAAAAGGAACGATGTAAAAAGGTACATTAAGGCAAAGACGTACATTAAGCGATCAGTATTGATGAGCGAGCCTCTAAAATAAATTATTTTTTTTGGATGGCAAGTCGAGTGGACACAAAAAAGAAGAGAAAGCTTAATGAGAAGGAACAGCTCAAATCTTCTAACCTGCTAGATATGAGGCGTAAGAATTTATTATTTCACAAATACTAGATTTTTTGCAATCCTAGTTTCTTATCATTAATAAATATGTATTTTACAAACGTTTCGTAAAAAACGCGGGAAAAATTTCCAAGTCACGTAAATAAACCAATCCTTTTTAATAAATGTACTCTTATTTATTACATAATATCATCATAAAGCACAAATAAATTTTTTATTACGAAAAACAAAAATGGATAATCCTAGA